GGGGGGGGGGGGGGGGGGGGGGGGAGTTGGTGTGCTGCTTAGCCTCCAGTATCGTTGCAAGAATGTTTCAGTAACCCAATAAATAAACAATGGGTGATGCTAATAAAATAGTAGGTGGATGCAACCCAGTGCTTTTTTTTTTTTTGGAAGCATGCCCCAAAGGCACAAAACTCTGGGGGAGTTGAAAACATCGGGGCCAGGAAGGAAAGGAGGGTTAATAGAAGAAGAGGGGACCAGCCACAGCAGCCAGTGCGTGAAAAGGTAAGTACATATAGCAGCTTTTTCAAAGATGGTTGTCTGTCTGTAAGCTGAACAGTTTGTGCCTAGACTTCACACAGACTCCTCTCCCATTCAGCTTTTCTTCACCAATCATTGTGCAAAACCATAATCAGCTGTTGCGTCTCAGTCAGACGGGGCATGGTTTGCATCAACCAAAACTGGATTCTTTGGGTTGACTAACTATGGATAGACAAGACACACTTCCTTGAGAATTTGCTCCCAGTCCCTTAAACTAGAGGTCTTAACTTTTTTTTTTTTTTAAGTGGCAGTACATTTAGAAGATGCCGTGGGCATGTTTACAGCATGGCTGCTCAAGGAGGGCTTTGCCTATTCAGAAAATAAATGACATGAGGATCTAACTAGAAACTGGGAGACCATGAGATCTAGTCCTCTCTCAGGCACAAAGGCAGCTATATCTGAATATAGATGAGGCTGCTATCACAATGAAGGGAGCCAGTTTGGGTTAATGGTTAAGGCACCAGGCTGGAATCCAGGAGGCCATGAATTCTAGTCCCACCTTAGGCACAAAGTCAGCTGGGTGACCTTGGGCCAGTCCCTCTCTCTCAGCCCTAGGAAGCAGGCAATGGCAAACCACTTCTGAAAAACCTTGCCAAGAAAACTGCAGGGACATCACCACCATCATCATTATTATCATTAGCCAGTTTGGTGTAGAGCAGCGTTTCTCAGTCTTGGCAACCTTAAGATGCACAGACCTCAACTCCCGAATTCCCCAGCCAGGGAATTCTGGGAGTTGAAGTCCACACATCTTAAAGTTGCCAAGATTGAGAAAAACTGGTGTAGAGGTTAAGGAACAGGCTAGAAACCAGTATATTGTGAGTTCTGGTCCTGCCTTAGGCACAAAGGCAGCTGGGTGACCTTGGGCCAGTCCCTCTTTCTCAGCCCTAGGAAGCAGGCAATGGCAGACCACTTCTGAAATCTTGCCAAGAAAACTGCAGGGACTTGTCGCCAAGAGTCAACACTGACTCAAAGGCACAAATCACAGTGGGACAGCTGTAGTTTTATCCTTGACAGTTTCGCTGTGCTGGATGATAGAGCTCCTGCTCCATTTATTGCTTTCCTGGGAAGCTGGACCTTCTTCCAAACAAGGCACTGAGCTGCAGCCTCCTTTCCTTTTGATCTTCTAAGAATGCCTGCGGAGCCAAGAGGCATTCTTGCAACTAAAAGTAAAGCAAGAGACCGTCACTTTGCACTGCCGCATCCCTGTTTCCTGTTCTTTTAACAAAAGTTTAAAAATGTAATATGTCCAGGGAACAAAGAACCTGGCAGGGGCTAAGTGAGATATCTGTGAGCATCTCAGCACTCCAGGTGCCTCTTCCACCCTAATGGAACTTCATTCTAGCTTGGGATTGTTCAGCACTCCATCTTAAAGCAGGCAGAAAAATAACCTTTTGTTGACTGTATCTTGTTAATTTGTTTGTATATTTGATTTAGGGGCTGCCCAACTCTGGGCAGCTTTCCCTTTAAAAAGGAAGAAATGATAAAATGGAAAACAGATTGTGTAGAAAAAATCCAGAAGGAAAAAAAAGATATGGGAGGGAGGGAGGGAGGGAG